CTCTTAAGGCCGTGAGTGGTAGCAAGTTAGTAGAGGAATCTACTCATGAGGGTCCAAGGAAGAGTGATTCTTTGAAGAATGATGGAGCTATTTGAGTATTTCTTTAGCTAAGGAAAGTCAGTTTGCTATCTTGAGTGAAAAGCATATAGAAAAGGACTTAGGAGAGTGTGGGCTAGATGGGTTTGAAGTAGAGGTGGAAAAGCAGCCCGCCCGGCCCAACCCGACCCGACCTGCGGCGAGTCTTCGGCAACATTGGCAGGTCGGGTTAGGCCCGCCAATGTTGGGGAATTGGCTGGCCCAACCCAGACCGCCAACCCTAACCCGCCGGGTTAGGCCGCGGGTTGGGCTGGGTTAACCCTCATTTTGTTTTTGTTTTTTTTTAATTTTGTTTTGTTTTATTTTGTTTAAGTTTAAATGTTTAATTAACTTTTCAAATGAATAATTAACAATTTATAAATGAATAAATGTAATTGTTTTTAGTTAAGTGTTAATTTCTTTTCAAATATCAATAATTAAATTAAATTAAATTTTTTTTTGTTAACATTCCAAATATTAATTCAATTTTAATACATCAAAATTGTAATATAAGAATAATTAAATTTATTCATTTATTAAAAAATAAAATAAGAAATTACAATAATTATTGCCTCGTTAAAAACCTCACCAAGAAAAACCTAATGGGACAAAAACTTGGTAAGGAAAAAAGAGTGCAATAATTGACAATTAATTTACAAGTTACAATTTACAAAACAACTAATTTTGGGGTTCACGAGGACCTCCCTCAGCCATATCATCTATATTACAAAATTGAAATTATTCTATTAAAGTATCGTCGACAACCTCGTATTGACCTTGATGGCGCGACCGTTCCCAATCTCGAAGACATGTGAGGACTTCAATCATTTTTTGTGAAAGTTTAGTCCTCCTTTCATTTAAAATTCTTCCACTTGCACTAAATGTTTGTTCGGATGAGACGGTTGAGACGGGAACAGTGAAAACATCCAAGGCAAGTCTTGATAATACCGGAAAAATACATTTTTTGGCTCTCCAATAGTCTAAAAGATCAATGTTGGCTCTCTGTTGTGGATCTATTGGTAACATTTCAGGGGTTGCCAAATATTGTTGAAGCTCATTACTATGCGACTGCATGGAAGACAGTACATTAGTTATTGTGGTCAGTGGAGCTTCTGAAGAGGAGGTTGTGCTTCGGATTCAGGTCCTCTTCGGCCTATTCAGTGCACCCCAAGAATAGAAGTCTTCATTTGTTTCTTCTGATGCAGCTTCCCTGGATGTTTCGCCTCTTTGCGGGTTCCCATACCTGTTTTCATATTGGAAATATACTTCAAAAAGTTTATTTTTTTACCTCTCCTATTTGATTGGCATATACTTCGGTTTGTAAATTTTCACATAAATTGTCAAAACCATTTTCTAAACTTGCTAATTTAATTCTAGGATCAAATATAGCACCTGAATAATAAAGAAAAGGAATGGGTTCCCAATATTTAAAAAAAAAAAATTTCATTGCCTTTATTTGTGCATTTAAAATTACATTGTCTTTGTTTTTATAAAAACTCGGAAATTTTTATAATTGTATGTATTACCAATGGACATAGTAGGATAATACATACCAGAAAGTTGTAAAAATAAAAAGTTTTAAGAAAAGAATGAAATACTTTAGCTATTTGCCAATCATTTTCTACCAAATAATGAGGACCTCTATTATTTGCTACAAAATAACTAATTATATTAGCATAAGGTAAACATGAATCAAGCATTAAATAAGTACTATTCCATCTAACAGGCATGTCTAATGCAAAAGTTCTAGGAGACATATTTGATTTTATACAAGCGTCTTGAAATTCAACATTTCTTTTATTACTACATGTAATCCAAGCTAAACAATCTCTAATTCTATTAATATTTTATTTAATTGTTTTCATACCACTTTTCACAATTAAATTAATAACATGACATGCACAACATTGGTGAAAAAACTTCAAATTGTTATATAAAGGATAATTACTTTGAAAATAATCTATAGTTTTACTATTAGAACTTGCATTATCTAAAGTTAAACTTATCATTTTACTAACAACATCATAATCTTCTAAAACTTCAACAATTTTATTATAAATTTGTTCACCACTATGATCAATATCCATTAATCTAAATCCTAATAAAAATTTATTTAATTTACATTCATTATCAAAATAATGACTAGTCACACAAATATAATCTTGTTTAGCTCTACCACTCCAAATATCGACAGTTAGAGCCACACTAACATGACAAGTATGTATTTTATTTTTTAATCCTAATTTCATTTTTTTAAACAATTTTATTAAATTATTTATAGTTGCAGTTTTAGAATAACTTTTAAATCCTGGAAAAAATGAATTTTGAACAAATCTTTCAAAATATTTATCTTAAGCCATATTAATAGGTTGATCAGTTACAGCAATATATAAAGCTAATTGTTCCCTATATACATCAGAATTATAACGCCAATTAGTACCCATATTAGTTATTTGAGTTTGATTGCTTTCTCTATTTCCATGTTAATTAATATGTTTATTAGCATGCCTTTTTAAAGTACTAGTATCATTACCTGAATCAGCTTTATAAATATTTTCACAGTATTTGCATCTCGCTTTCTTGACTTGAACGTCATTTTCTGCCTCGTAAAACTTGTCAAAATGCTCCCAAACATCTGATGTGTGTCTGTCTTCGCTTTCGACGGCAGTTGATGATCCCGCCTCAGCTTGAGATGAAGTTGGACGAGCACGACGATTACGAGGACGACTTCTAGAATCACCAGGAGCTATTGGAATCAGGGGCATATTTTGAGGTGTATCGGATTCTGAGAATGGGAAAGCGGGACTATTTGAATCTCTTCCTGTATTTATGTTAGTAAAATCAGCGGGACTAGGACTAGGATAGTAGTTTCATTCATCATTGTAATTGATGGGAGAGAAATATCTATCCATTATAGTTGAAAAAAAAAATTGATGTAGAAGAAATAAAAATTAAAGAAAGAGAACTGGAATATGGAAATTGGAATTTGGAAAATTGGAAATATGAATTAAAAATTGCAAAAACTAATAAAAATTAAAATACGAGCAAATTGATAACAAAGAGATTAAAAGAATAAATGAATAATTGAGATATTAGAAATTAAAGAATATGAGAGAATGAGAGAATTTGAGTTGTAAGAAAAATGAGAGAGTTTAGGGCCAATTTATAGAAAAAAATAACGAAAAAGACCCCTCCAACGGCTATATTTCAAGGATAAAGGGGTAATTTGAAAAATAAATAAATTTTTTTATTTTTTTTATTTTTTTCGGCCAACCCGTCAGGTTGACTGTCTCTTTCAAAAGAGACAAAACAGTAACCCGTCAGGTTGCGGGTTGCCATTTTGCAACCCGGCCCGCTCGAGGGTTACTGCCAGGTTAGGCGGTCAGGGTTGACCCGGACCGCCATCTTGGCAGTCCGAGTTCAACCCGCTTCATTACGGGCCGGGTTAGGGTTGACCCGCCTAACCCGGCCCATTTGTTCCACCTGCCTACCCTCACAATTTTTTTAAAAATTGTTTATGTAGACCTATAAGAAAATATTATATATCTTCATATTAAAAAAAAAAAAAAACGAATCTCATAATTTTTTTTTTTATTAATATATATATTTCACACCTATGTCATATTAAAAGTTTAAAACTCTCTCCACTCTTTTTTACGTGTATCTATTTTTTATAATTTTATCTCTAAAATTCTTTATTTTGTCATTCTCTCTTTTATTTTCTCTATGTTATTTGTTCTTAAAACTTTTGAATGAAATTATTGAAACTTTCGCTCTTCAAGGTGCCACAATTAGCTTCGTTTTCTGTTTACTCAGTTTTAGGTTTGTGTATTACTTATTTCATTTTAGTTTATTTTAGGGTTGAATCATGCTTATTTTTTGGAGGTTTTTTATTCTAATTTGATGGAAAAATGCATGGATCTTGTGAGTTTATTTTGTGTTTTGTATTTAAGAATGTTTCTGCTTTCCCAAATTAAACTTTAACTATATTTTATTGAACGTTATTCTTCGCTCTTCACCCACCACTTTTTTACCTTTCAAACGCCATCGTTTAGTTATTTAAAATTATTAAAGAAGTTTGAGTTATTATCTATATTTATACTAAGAAAATTTCCCTTTTTTTTATTAATTCACATTAAAAGTCAAGGCAACATTGACTTAATTTAAGTTTTGGTTGACTTTAACTTAGGCTAGGCTTGATCTTGATCAAAGTCATGAAAATTTATATTATAATCTTTGAAAGAAAAAAAAGAAAAGAAATAAGAAATTTGTGTAGAATATTTTTGGTAGATTATAATTTTTGTAAACTCTTTTAATTATATTAGATTTAAGTGGATCGTTAGATTCCCATGGTCTTTTGCTCTTTTTAGTTGAAGAGGTTTTTTCACGTAAAATTTTTTTATGTTTTCTCGTGAATTGAATTTTATTTTTAACATAATTTGTTCAAGATTTTGTTTCTCATAAATTTATTTAAATGATAAAGTATTATGTTATTATATTATTTTTCTTTAGATTATTGATATTATATTATTTCATTTGTTTAAGATTTGATAATTTTTTAAAAATTTTTACTAGTTATTTGACAAACACCAACACCCCTCCCCTGTATAAAAATCCTTGGTCCGTCAGTGCTGCCATGCATTGAATTACAAAATATTACTAATTTCTATCTATAGTCAAATGGCGGCATAAATGGAGCTGGTCTACCATACTTTGCTGATCATTTTTAGGTATATTATTGCAATAGATCTTATTCTTTCTGGATATCCAGTTGTCCATAAAGTATCTTATGAATTTCTGAAACTCTTACAAGCACACAAAATTAACTATTACATAGCATAAAATGTTGGCAACCATCTCTTATTCTTTCTCTTTTCTTCTACTTTCTTGCATAGTTTGTGTTCTTCTGCACCATTTTCGTTTTACTCTATGCCCCCCATGCCTCGAATGCTGCCCACATAGGTGAAAGTTAGACATTGAAAATAAAATATCAAAACAAGTAAAGGGTAAAGAGGTTAAAAAAACAATTTATTGACGACGGAATGAAGATCATATCAAGTGTCTAGACCAGCTTAGGCGCACATCTGTGTGACTATTCCTCAAGAAACAACCCACTGTCCTGGCTCTTAGATAAATCATAGGCAAAGGTGATACCTTTGCAGCCTAATAGAGAATCGATCTTGGGACTGTGAGTTGAAATCATGCACAACCTCTTTGGTTCACCCTTACCGCTCGGTTACCCATAGGTGGGTTATTATAAATCTTAAAATAGGTATAAATTAGTGAGCAGGCGTAGAGGTGGGCATTTGGGACTGGGTCCAAAAACCCAGCTCAAAAACCCAATCTTGGGAGGCCTGGTCCCAAAACGGCACCGGGACCGGGACGAGGCCTAAGGAGGAGCGCCCGGTCCCTCCACTGGGCCCTCCTCCAAGGCACGGGCCTAGGACCGGTCCAAGGCTTGGGCCCAAATTTTTTTAAATATTTTCGTTTTAGTCTCTTGTATAATTACCTAAAACCCCCTATAAATTTGGAAATAAACATAAATTATAAGGGTTAAAATTTTTTTTACAAAATTTAACCAAAAAAAAATTCCCAAGCCTTAAAAGATTTATAAATTTTACCCTTGAAAAATACTAAAAGCCCCCCACAAAATTAAAAAATTTATAAATTTTACCCTTGAAAAATACTAAAAAACCCCCCACAAAATTCCGCTTCGCCCTTAAAATATAAAAAAGGATCAGGGGAGAAAAGGAAATTTTTTAGGCCCATAAGACCGGTCCTACTGTCCTAGGGACCAGTCCGAGTCCTAAAATTATTCATGAGCCTGAGACCGATCCCAAACCTATAAGCGACTAGTCCCATTTGGGACCAGTCCCAAAAGGGCCCAGGCCCGGGCCTGCTTGGGACTGGTCCTTGACCAGCTCTAAATTGCTGCAGGCGTGATTGAGATTTATTTCTTGCTTTTATCTGTTTAATTAACCACTCATGACAATCTTAGATTTTGCTCAAGTAAATATCATATCAAGTCCTGATCCAGATGATAAATTACTGTATAGAAAACAAAAACCATACTAAATTACTAACCTTGAGTAGAAAGGATGTCATTGAAGTCAGCGCCAACTTGCCAAGCAAAGTAACCAAGCAATCCCTTTGTTTTAACATATGAAACCTTGGAAGAAATACTCTGAGTATCATCATACCCAATCCATGTTGTTCCACTGTACAAATAATCTGTAACAACAGTTTCATTATAAACTGTTGTGGTTGTGGCACTGTTTTCACTGATAAACTCCCTGATCTGACGGTAACCTGGCGCCCCATCATTTAGCTCAGCGGCTCCAGTAGTTGCAGCAAAAAGGCCATGGTTATCAGCATCCGCTAGCCGCCAAGCGCGACCGTAAAATGGCAAGCCAAGCACTATTTTCTTTGCGGACAAACCAGCCTGGAGCCAAGCTGTGATCCCGGCATCTCCACTAACTTGGTTTCCGGGATTGTACAAGGCAGCAGGAGGTCCTGTAACTTCAGACCAGCCAGGCCCGTAAAAATCATAAGCCATTACATTGATCCAATCCAGACTGTTTGCAATATCCTGAACTGGATAACTCACCCCATCATGAATTGAAGAGTAATAGACGGCTGCGGTCAGAAGCAGCTTCGGACTGGAAGTGTTACTGGAATACTCAGAATCAACAGCTGCTCGCCACTCGTTGAGAAGGGTACCGAAGTTCGCCATTACAGTAGAATTGGGAGGGAATTCCCAGTCAAGATCGAGGCCATGGAAGTTGTAAGACCTGGCTAAGTTTATAGAGGAATCAATGAATGATTTTCTTGAACTAGATTGGCTAGCCATTGAAGCAAAATCTGAGCTACTGGATCCTCCTCCGCCGATTGACAGGAGGGTTTTGATTGATGGATTTTTCTGCTGGACAGTTTCTGTGAAGGCGCGGAACGGAGCTTGATTTGAGGATGAGATTGTGACTTGGGAAGTGTTGGGATCAAGATCTGCGAAGGCACAGAGGAGGTGAGTGAAAAGGGGGGAATTTATGGAAGAAGCTGCAAATCCACTGTCATAAAACCAGTAAACGCCTTTAACAACTGAAGTCTGTCCAGAAGTGAAATGTGGTTGCAGAACAAGAAGAAGAGAAGAACACCAAATGAGAAGAGCTTTGGAATCCATTTGTTTGCGGCAATTTCTTGCTTGCTAGTTGTGTGAGTATATATATATAATTTTCGTAATTATATACTAAATTTAAATGTTTTGACATTAATTTGACTAGTACACTTTTTTAGACTGAATCTTTGATCCATCGAATCTACCCAAATCTACTCCCAAACGTGAATACTATTCTCATTTTAATTAGAAAACTTTGCCTTTTACTTGTTTGACTATCTTTGCATAAAAGTTTAGTATTTACAGTTTTTTTTTTTTTTTTTTTTTTTGAGAAAATCATTGGTCCATGTTATCGTTTCTTACGTGAAACATTACATATATTGAGTCCGATCTATGACAAAATCAAAAAAATTACATTTAGAAAGAAGTTCAAAGTATAACTTTCAATAAATGAGTAAACCAAATTATATATATATATTGCATCTAAATTTTATATTTCTACATAAAATCTTAGGCTCCGTTTAGTTCATTATTCTCATAGTTTTTAGAATAATATTTTGAAAATAGTTAAATTAGACGGGTATTACGATGTAGGATTTGAAAATTAACAAAAATATCTCCTATGTTTGTTTATTTACTAAACACTCCTATAATAAAATATTAAAAGTTAACAAAAATACCTCTAACCCATCCATTAAATACAGACAGCCAGTCACCACCACCAGAAGGTGGTCGAAGTGTTTTTACAATTTCTAAAAAAAATTTAGAGATGTTTAATTAAATTAACAAATTTAAAAAGTTTAAAAGAAATTAAAAAATATAAAATAATATTTTAAAAATAATAATATTTAACTGTTTAACTCTTTTAAAGAATACTAATAATAATATTTATAAAAGCGAAACAAATTAAGCAATAATTTTTTTCTTGGCCCGGGTGGCCGTGGTTGACCAAGACGCAAGGCCCAAGGGTAGTTCCGCCACTTTATTATCGTTCAAGTTTCCCATGTAATTACTAAATTACCCTTATGCAAATTTATGGTATTAAAATGTTTTTTTGACAAAGAGATCGCGCATACGTGAAAGCCAACGGCAGATCCAACGGTGTCAAAACCATCACCGTGTTATAATCAAATATGATTAAAGTCGAAGTTTGACTTTGCTCTCGGATAATATTTTACAATTTACGCAAGCGCTCGCGCGCGAGAATGAGATAAGAATATAAGATATAAAAATAAAAGTGAGTATGCTAGGCGCGTTGGCTCACGCTCACACTCCCAAATTTCTCTGTGCTTCTCGTCTCTCCGCTTCCCCCAGAACCACCGTCTCCGCCGCCGCCATGTCATCTTCCGTTGTCCGGATAGCCGTCGTCGGAGACATTGTGAGTTTCTCCCATTTGAAGTTCATAATTTTCATTTTTATCTGTATTTTTAATACAATTTTTAGCTTTTTTTTCTTTTAATTTGTTTGGTTTGGTGAAGCATGATCTTTGGAATCTAGAAGAAGACACTAAAGCACTCCAATTTCTTAAGGTAATTTCCATTTCTTTCTTTTAATTTTATTTGACCATAAATAGATTATGGCTAACTGTGAAGTGAATTATCAGATGTGTTATGAGTTTCGCATTCACTAGTTCTTAATATTACGATTACGAGTCTTCGTTATTTCAAATATCAATACTGATAATTAGCTAGTGAAGTGTTGTGGAAAAATTTCAATTGTTGAATGTTATTTTCGTGTTTTACGCCTTGTAATTGGCTTAATAACATCCGCACGGGTAAATTATTGATGTTTATTATGTGCTAAATCTACCATTCAATGTGTTGTGAGTCTCATGTTAAGTTATTTCAAGAGTTTCGTTCGTTCGTGATGTTGCATTACTAGGTTAGCTTGAATGGGGGCCTAAGCTATGATGTTGTATTTGACATTTGTAAGAAAAAACATGTATGCTATTGAGCGTCGGAATATCCTATGACAGGGGAATGGGGATTGTTTGATTTGGTATCCGAATGTATTTGGGGTTATGTCTTGAAAGTTGAAAGTAAGTAACTTTTTATTTTGGTATTTAAACACTAGTGTTTTTAAAGAATTGGTTGTAGTAATCTGGATACTTTTTAAATGTTTTTTAATATGAAGGTTACAGTAATGCAAGTGAATGTGGTTGATTGGAATGTTTTTGGGAGTTTATGTGTACAATCCTGAATATGAAAAGAGGCTGAGATTTGAAAACAAAAAGAAAGTTGTTCCATGTTTTCAAACAGATTGTATTTGGAAATTTATAGAGTATTGTTTTTAGATGCTAATACCAAGCACGTATACTTGATTTCTTAAGTTCAAAATAATTCTTGAAAATAACACCAAATGTTCTTTCAGTAATAAAAATGTTGAAAATTTAGTTACTGTTGTAGGATAGTTTTCTGTTTTCTTAACCATTCAGAAGAATTGATTGTTCAATAGTCTATCCCCTGATGAACCATCAAAACTTGTTGCCCACCAAAATTTCTCTAAAACTTTTATCTACGTATATTAGAGTTGTCTTATGAGCCGACTAGTCAAATGGAAACATGCACTTGTTTCTAGTTGGCAAATTGATTAACATATGGTGTTTGTTATAACTAATTTTTCTTCTCTTTAAGCTTTAAGTTAAGGTTTTTCCTTGACGAGTCTACATATTGACCTGTTCTACCTATCTAATTTTTTTTTTTTTTTTTTTTGAATTTCAAATTGCAGCCAGACTTGGTGCTATTTACAGGCAGGTTCTCTTCTCCCTTGTTGTTTATCTGCCCACTGGGCAGCCTGGTTTTAGTTTATTTTCTGGCATCATCAGTCTTCTTCCACCTATCCTGAACCGGTGAGCTAGGTGGCAAGGTCACCTTTATGCGAACCGTGTCCATGTCGAACTATTTTTTTCACACACCTTGGACCTAAGTAACCCACTTCAAACATACTCATTTGAAAGAAACAGACTGACCTTGGTGAACTGTCTTATGCCGCCTATAATTTGTCTGGTTATAGATAAGATAGTGCTTAGCCTTTTTTCTCTATTTTAATCTAGCCCTCTTTTATCCCTTGTTCTGATTTGTTCATTTTTTCTCCCCTCTTCCCTGCCTCTTTTAGGTGATTTTGGTAATGAGAATGTTGACCTAGTTCAGAGTGTTGCAGATCTTGAATTTCCTAAAGCAGTCATTCTGGGAAATCATGATTCCTGGAGAACTCAGGATTTTTCTGGAAAGTAAGTTTAAATATTTTGGTCCATGATTAATATATTTTTTTGTGTATTTTTCATATTAAGATGTTCCAGTTACCAATAAACATGCCATCTTGAAAATTCTGTTTCTTCTTAAGCTTCTAGAGACTGAACATTCATAGATGGCTTTTCTTTTTGGACTGTTGTTCATTTTAGAAACTAACTATGTGAGAAATTGTTTGGAGACTTATCATCTAAAATTTATTTTTAATTAAATGTCAGGAAGAAGAATCGTGTTCAACTTCAGCTAGAGTGGTGAGCTTATTTATATCTATGAATGCAATGTTTTTGAATTGGTTTCTTTTTTATGCTTTATTCTGATATTTCCACCTACTTTTGTTTGTTGTTTCTCTTATTTTGTTTTCATTCCATTCAACTGTTTCTTTCTCACATTTGCGAGACAGTAGTTATGCACAAGTACACTTTCAATTTGTGTGTCTTGAGAAAGTTGGATTTCAAATTTTATGTTCTTATTTTGCTATATATATCAAATAATGAATAATTGATTCTGTTGGAAAGATAGGACTTGCTAATACAAATATTGTTGATAATGATGATGAAGCCAAAACATGAAGATAGAGGAAACAAGATGAGAATATTGAGAAAATATAAAGTTTTCTGTTAGTAAATTAGTCAAAAATCTAACATTACAACAATGTAAATTTATCCCCTTTAAATCCATCACCTAAAAAAGGACTCTTTCATGTTACTGAATTAGCTTGTCACTATCCTATAAAGTTTGGCAGCATACTATCAGCATATATAGGTTTGATAAGAAACTAAAGAAAATGTATTAATAATGATTCAAAGTAGATAGAGTTGTATAGAGGTGCATCGAGGCTACACAAAGAAAACCCTAATCACTTGTCTATTACCGAATACATATTTCTGTTATTAGCTTTCTATGATCTTTAGCACATTAAACATCATGTAACTGTTAAAATTCTTGAGCAATTTGGCTGGTAATGACAACACTTTTGGTAACAACCAGTCTTGGTGAGGAGCATGTAGCTTATCGAAGTCTAGATTTTCCTATGTTAAAACTCAGTGTTGTTGGTGGACGGCCATTTTCCCATGGGACTGAGCGAATGTTTCGTAAAAGGCTTCTGTCCTCGAGGTTAGTGGTCCACTACAGTTTTTTTTTTTTTTTTTTTTTAACTCAATTTTTCCATTCTTTTTTCTTCATTTTTTTTGTCCTCTTACTAGCACTTTTACCTATTCAAAAAAAGAAAAGAAACTTCCATTTGTTGACTCCATTTTCCCCATTGCATCCTGTAAGGTTGTATGTGATTTGTTAATTTGCTTTGAAGTAAATTCAACCATACATCTTGTCTCCTGATTGTTATGATTTTTCAACCCATTTTTTTTCCTGGGCATCAATGATGTAGTCTTCTTGTTATTTTAGTTATTCTGACCCTTTTTTGCAACTTCTCAAATTAAAATTATCATTTCAGATATGGAGTTGAAGACATAGATGGAAGTGCCAAGAGAATCTATAAGGCCGCATTGGGTGTGCCAGGAGATCATTTGGTTATATTTCTTGCACATAATGGACCCACCGGTAAATCATCGAGCCTAAATTACTTTTGATTTAGCTGTTTAAGGCAAATTAAACACCTTCAATTGAAATATTGGAGTCTACAGGTCTTGGTTCTGAAGGGAATGACATCTGTGGAAAAGATTGGGAAGTTGGAGGCGGTGACTATGGTGATCCAGGTAATGTTGTTTGGGCTTCTCATGGGCATGGTTTTGTTTGTTTTTGCTAAGCCACTGAATAGTGTACCATATCAAGGCCGTAACAGGTGATTTTCTCACTGGAAAACTTGACTATTTTAGCAATCATAATGTTCCACTGTTCTCGTGAGACAGTATGATTATTTTGCTGGGTCCTGAAGCCTGTTGTGATTGGTACCTAATGAACCTGATTAGACCAAAATTGGGAAGGACACAAACTGTCCTATAGCATGCATTTAACTCGTCTGTTAAGATGTCATCATATTTTTCGCCCTACCATCTTAACAAGAGCATCTTCTACTACAGATCTAGCACAAGCCATTGCGCTTTTAAAAGAGACTACCAAATTTTGTATTCCCCTGGTCGTGTTTGGTCACATGCACAAACAACTGGGAGATGGTGGTCTGCGAAAAATGATTGCGTTTGGCACTGACAACACCATATACCTCAATGGGGCCATTGTTCCAAGAGTTAAAAGACTAATTGATAATCAAGGAACTGTAAACACAAGCATCATGAATAACGAAACCTCACTTGCCACAGCGGACTCCAGAGGTACAACGCGAGCCTTCACTTTAGTGGAAATTGTAGATGGAAGAGTAGATAAAATCGCAGAAACATGGGTTGCTGTTGTTGGAGATATGACAACATTACAAGAAGAGCACATATTGTTTAAACATGGCGATGAGGTTCTTCCATGACTGGTTTTTAGTATCAGTCACTAAGCATCTATTGCTGCATACGTTCTACCGTTCTAATTAGACATGCTTTCGATACCAACTTAACTTGCTACTTTTTCATTCTTTTGATGCAAATGGTCTGACATATGGAAATGGTCTGCGAAAAATTAGTGTTTGGCGTCAACAACACCATATACCTCAATGGGGCCATCATTCCAAGAGTTAAAAAGACTGATTGAGATCAAAGAACATAAATAGAAGCGTCATGAATAACGAAACTTCACTTGCCACATCAGACTCCAGAGGTACAATGCAAGCCTTCACTTTAGTGGAAATTATAGATGGAAGAGTAGATAAAATCGGGGAAACATGGGTTACTGTTGTCGGATATATGACAACATTACAAGAAGACCATATATTGTTTAAACCTGGCAATTAGATTCTTCCATGACTGGTTTTTAGTTTCTGTCGCTTAGCATCTATTGCTGCTGTAAAGTGCTTTCATGAATGCAACTAAATAGACCTGCTTTGAATACCAACTTGGCTTAATATTCATTCTATTGATGTTTGTATATCTCAGTTTAAAGCACTCAAAATCCTACCAAATTATATAAATTTTTTCTATACTTTGTTAAATTGAATGTAGTCAAATGCAGTGGCCTACAATTGAATCAAGTTCGACCAAGTATTGTCGTCTTCAACTTCAAGATCCTATACTACTGAAAAAACCTAGAGTACCAAAAAGGTACCACATATCAATTCTTTCTTTCTTGTTTATCTTTACAATATGTATAATTTGTGTTAATTGAACTGTATATCTATATGGGATTTACACATTGACATGTGGTACTATTGACGTGATAACTTCTGTATTATAGACTTACTGACTGAGAAAGTTTTTAAGTTTCGGTCTCTGATACTTCTCTGACGTGGTACCTCGTAGCACTCTAGATGTTAAGTTTTGCTCACAATACTATAGACCCACTGAGTCACTGACTAAGGAAGCTTAAGTTTTGCTTGTGGTACCATAGAGCCATAGACTCTGACTGTGAAAGCTTTTTAAGTTTTGGTTTGAGACAAGAGAAAAAGATACCATAGCTGACTTTGTTGACTACTTTTGTGTGATGATTTGAAGCTGACTATTCTTCATTTTTTTCTAATAGGTGATTGAAACCCTTTTGTAAAATGCGCATAATCTATGAATTAATCAATAATATAAGCCTTATGAAAAGGCATAATTCACATGAAAGTGATGATACATTTCCTAGATTTCTACAATCATGTAAATTAGACAAAAGGAAAGAGTAAGCAACAGTTGAACAACTCATCTGAACATAATTGTGTGGAGTCTTTTCTCATTTTACAACTTGTCTTGCTGCCTTTAGTCATCTTTAAGCCTTAACTTTTTCCTCTTTTCATTAGGGCACCAACTTCCATGCATTTTTTTTTTAAACTTTTTGACCTAGTCTTCTTTTCCTTTGGACTCAAGTTTACTCTCACTTAAAAAAATAAAAAGAAACCACCTACCCTTTCGTTTAAACCATTATTAGTTTAGGTTGAGATAAGCAAGATTGGTTGGTGAGATTGTTTTTTAGTCGTTACTTAAGACTTTTTTTAGCTTCATTTGTTTCAATTAGAGTATGACACACCCATTTTTTTTTAAAAGTACATACGTAAATACAATTCAGGCTAAGATATTTTACTCTCGTGCTGATGCCTGATATGACATACTTTCATCGATTGATTGTTTTTACAACAGAATTCACAAAAAAACTATCCATTTTATATCTCTTGTCGTTATACTTTGATAATACACATCGTTGTGTGTATAATCCTATAAGATTTTTCAGTGTTTAGGATTCAAATTCTACAAAATAAGATCTTTGGGTGTAGGTTTTAGTAGTTTTATGGTGTAATTTTAGAAATGATCTTTATTTGTTCATAACTAACTAACTATACGTAGAAGTAGATGGCAAACGGTTTGTTTGTAATAGAAGAGAATTTAATCCCAAGGATAAGTAAATAATAATCCACGTGGTGGTGTTTTATTTATTTCTTTCTTCTTTTTTTTTTTTTTTGGGTTTAGGTCCCCTACTTTTAGAGCACAAGAGGTCCCCTACTCTAATTAAAAGACTTTATTTATCAAGTAATTTTCCTTGTCACCATCATCATCTACCCAAAATTTGTCACACCAAACCACCAAATTTTCACCATTTTTAATTTCAAGCTCCCATCTAGTTGCTCCATTATTTAAAGAAACTCTTTTGCATGATTAAAAGTTAACCAACTAATTAAAGGACGGTTGTCAATTAAAGCAAATACAATTGGAAGAAGAAAAGCCTATTAATTAATGAGTTTCTATTTGTGTCATTGCCAACTTATCCAATATTCTTTGGTATCTCTCATTTGTTAAATGAAATTTATTTGTTTATTTTCTTATAACAAAATCATATATCGTCATTACATCATTGTTTACGTTATTGAATTGACATATATATATTATTTAAAACTCTGATTCATTGGTTTCATTTAGTATAATTGTTTCCATGACACGTAAACATATCACCATCCTGTACTGTAATACGGTGATACATTACCAATCAAACTAGCCTCGTTCATTAATACACAATACAAGAGACGATGTAATATATCACCATCCTTCAATGTAAACATTATCAAATTGAATGGATCTTTATCTTATAACATCATCGAATCGATCTAATCTTTGAGTTTTGATAGTGGATATGCTTTTCAAGATCCTGATTCAAAGTGTATCTGTAAAAACTGTTAAATTACAGTGAGGATACATAAGAATTGTGGGTGGGAATGAGAAAAATACAAGAAGAAGATGGTAAAGAGATAGAGAGACAAAGATGGTCAAAGTTTTCAGAAGCCTGAAAACAGTGGTAAATAGACAAAAGAGGCAAGACTCATAATATATCATCTATTGGTAATAAGATTGATTGAGGGAACAAAGAATAAATGTCTGACTCTCATTCTGAATCCTCTGGAAACTGCAGCAGCCTTTGACTGAATCTCAGCCATCCATCTTGTCACCTTTTATTACATTTTTATTATAAATTCCTAGCTGTCTTGAATTTAATACATATATATATATTTGTTTTTTTTACTTTGGGTTGGTTTGATTTGATTTTCACCCACTTAGACTTTGTTTTCTGTTATTTATGTCAAGGGGCTCTTGATTTTAGGAAAGTACCCTTGTTTTGGATAAAGGGGACACCCACATTTCTCAAGATTCTACCTTATTTCTCACTTTTACCCCTCTTTTTATNAATACATATATATATATTTGTTTTTTTTACTTTGGGTTGGTTCGATTTGATATTCACCCACTTAGACTTTGTTTTCTGTTATTTATGTCAAGGGGCTCTTGATTTTAGGAAAGTACCCTTGTTTTGGATAAAGGGGACACCCACATTTCTCAAGATTCTACCTTATTTCTCACTTTTACCCCTCTTTTTATTGCCCCTCAATTATTTTTCCTTGGATATGTGTTATAAAATAAATCCAACATTGAATATATATAATCTTGATGAAATTTATATTAAAATGTCTTGATCAAAATATGACTATATATATATATAGAGTCATTTTTCTACTTTCCAATACGATTTGGATTAGAATTTTCTCAATTAATATTAGATGAGGTAAATAAACTATTTACCAACATAAACTAACGAAGTTTATATATATTATGTAATATGTATTTATTTCAATTTAATATATATGAAAAGAAAATGTGAATCGTATATGTATATAGGCAAGGGCGGATCTAGTCACTTTTTGGCCCACCCTCAAATTTTTTTTAAAATATTAATATGTATGATTTATATATTTTGGTCTACCCTAACAAAAATATTAGTAGATAAAAGTATTAATGTATAATTAATTTTTACTTTGACCCACCCTAGCAGAAATTTCTGGATCCACTACTGTATATAGTATTGTATTTATAACAAATACAATCCCTTAATTTCCATTGATGGTAGGAAACAATAGTCTATCACAACAAACACATTTTGTTATTTTCTAATAGTGTGAATTTCACAAGTCTTTTTCATAATTAAAACTTTTTTTTTTTTTTGTTTCTTTGTAATTCCCAATAAAAAAAATGTATAACCTTTGCCCATAGTTTATGTGGGATAATTTCTTCTAAAATTAGTCAATATACATAAATAAATTGGTTCCAAAGATCGTAGTTATTGAAAAAAAAAATTATGTGAATGTGCGAAGGACAAATAAGACTTTGGAGCATTAGTTAGTGTCATGCATGACTTCAGAAAAAACTATAGAAATTTGGACAGATCATCATCAACCAACAACACTTGTTTCCATGTCTTTATTTTATTTTTATTTTGTGTTTTCAAAAACAAATTTTTTCACTTAAAGCTCTTCGACCCTCCATCTCCTTGTTCACCCGCTTAGATCGGATCCACTCACCTTTAATCTCTCCTCCTCTGCCCCATTTTCATCTTCCCGGTAAAAACAAAAAGAAAAACATTTTCATTTCTTCACCATAACAAACCAACTCACCAACAAAATCTAGCATCTCTTTCTATTTTTCTTTTTTTCTTTTTTCTTTTTTTTTTTAATATTTCGGTAACAAACTTGACAATCTCATTCCATTCATCAACAGAAGAAAAGTTTTGGTGATGTCTGTGTTGTATTGACTCATAAAAAAAAATCAAAAGTTGTGCCAAACCAAGAACAGAAGGGGAAGAAAGTTCTCAACCTCTTAGAGCCTCTCGATTGAAGCTTGTTTGCATGTTTTCAACGTAAATGAGAGAATATGGGAAATGTGACATCGAATGTGGCTGCAAAGTTTGCGTTTTTTCCTCCTGACCCCCCAACGTATGATGTGTTTAGAGAAGAAGATGGGAGGCTTGTGTTCTCCGGAGTCACGGCTGATAAGAACATGGACGTTCATGTTTTGGAAACAAAAGGTGGCAACAAAATCGTGGCAACGTTTTGGAAACACCCTTTTGCAAGATTTACTATTTTGTATTCTCATGGAAATGCTGCGGATTTGGGGCAGATGCAGGAGCTCTTCATTGAGCTTAGAGCTCACCTCAGAGTCAATATTATGAGGTATTTTTTTTTTTTTTTTATCGAAGTTTTGTTTTTTTGGTTTTGGTTTTGTTTTTGATCATTCTCAAGTGAGTTTGTTCTGTTTTTGTTGCTTTTTTTTTTGATGATTCATTCCCAAATTTTGCTTTCAAGTTTATTGTTTTTGGCTTTTGATGTTTCTGATTTTTGCTTTCTTTGATTTGTGATGATTGCCTAATTGTTAAGACGCTTTTTTTTCGGTGTTGTTTCTAAGCTCAAAGATGAGCTTAGAGTCAATAGTATGAGGTACTTTATATGAAAGTTTTGTTTTTTGAGTTTGGTTTTTGATTATTCTCAAATGGGTATATTATGTTTTTCTTGGTTTTTCCATTTTGTTGCTTGTTATTTGATGAATAATTACCAAAGTTTGCTGTAAATTTCATTATGGGTTGCTTTTTTTTTTTTTTTTCCTGTTGTTTGTGTAATTCCTAAAACACTTGAATTATTGGACATGTTTTGTTCTTGATATTTTTAAGCTCTTCATTGAGCTTAGTGCTCACCTTAAAGTCAATATGATGAATTAATTTCATAAAAGCTTTATTTTTTATCATTCTGAAATGGGTTTGTTTTGCTCTGTTGGTTTTTGATTCTTAGTTGCCTGTTTTTTAATGATTATTTCCCAAAATTCGCTTTCAAATTCATTATTTTTTTTATTCTGTTGTTTCGGATTTTTTTTTTTTTTTTTTTGTTTCTGCTGTTTTTGTAATTGATAAAACACTTGCATGATTATATACATATTTCATCTGTGATTTTTCTAAGCTCTTGATTGAGCTTTTGGAGTCTATTATGAGGTACTTTTATACGAACTTTTTGCTATTCTTGGTTTGTCTTTGATCATTCTTAAATGGGTTTGCTTTGTTTTTGCTGGTTTTTTATTCTTGTTGCTTTATTTATTATTATTTTTTTAATGATTAATCCCCAAAATTTGCTTTCGAGTTTCTTTATTTTTGCTTCCGTTGCTTCTGATTTTAGCTTTTTGCCTGTGTAATTTGTTGGACTCTTGAATTATTCAACTTGTTTTTATCTATTCTGTTTGGATTTTTGTTTTTTGTTTTCACATGTTTTGGATCTTTCACTTTGTCAATTTTACAGAAGGGAAAGCTAAAAGTTTGGACCCAGTTTCTGATTTGCTAGTGATTTCATTTAAACAAATGTTGCAGGCTTCATATATTTTTTTTTATAATAATGTTTGTTTAATTTTCATTTTTGATGATAGGAGTATAATATTGCTAGTACTCTAATTGAAATCTGATATCTATTTTCCCTATTTTACAGTTATGATTATTCCGGATATGGAGCATCCACTGGCAAGGTAAAAGAGAGTCCAACAAAATAATTTTCATTTGGACTATACCTTTACCTTTTTCGTATAAGATTTTTGGATGGCATTACCTGATCAGTGTTTGATTTTGTACTGTGTGATAGCCTTCCGAGTTCAACACATATCAGGACATAGAGGCTGTGTACAATTGTTTGAAAAGGGAGTATAATGTTAAGCAGGAGGATCTGATTTTGTATGGTCAATCTGTCGGAAGTGGACCTACGCTGCATTTGGCTTCTCGCTTACAGAAGTTAAGAGGTGTTGTTCTTCATAGTGCCATCCTTTCAGGCATTCGCGTCTTGTATCCTGTCAAGATGACATTTTGGTTTGATATTTTTAAAGTAAGTGTAACTTGAGTGTTTCTGTGTTAAATTGTTCTGTTGCCAACTTAAAATACTTTGCTTTATATATTGATATATTATTCTGTTCAATATTTGCAGAATATAGACAAAATCCGACATGTCAACTGCACGGTTCTAGTTATACATGTAAGTTTCTGGTTTTCCTTAATGGTTTTTACTCATAAGATGTGTTTGTCAATCATAAAAAGTTTGGTTAAGCTGTATGATTTGCTGCAAATGTCAAATAACCAATGCAACCTCTGTTCTGATACTAGTAAATAGGAAACCTTGAATCATCAACTGTATTAAGCATTACTAAGGAAAATCTTGTAAATTTCCACTGATGATTGTATCACGTCTCATTATGATTCTAATTCTGTATTTTTGTTGCCGTTGCTGATGTCTTTTCGTTGACAAACATTTGCAGGGAACGAACGATGACATTGTTGATTTGTCCCATGGGAAGCGCTTATGGGAACTAGCTAAGGAAAAATATGACCCTCTATGGGTCAAAGGTGGGGGTCACTGCAACCTTGAAACTTACCCGGAGTACATTAAACACTTGAGAAAATTTATGAATGCTATGGAGAAAATCTCTCTCACAAAACCGTCCAATAAACAACTCACTCCTAATCCAAGCATTACAGAAGGTAGACATAACAAGTGCTTGAGATTCGGGAAAAGATAGTCGGATGAGAAGTAGTGAATCAAGACAGGTAGCTTCTTCGCAAGGTCAGCACATCTCCAAGAATAGGCTTTGCTTGCTTTATGGACTTGGTGATTGTTAGCCAAAAGCTTTTTAGGTTTGGTATGTTTCTCAAAAAGGAACAACGGATAGGGAATTCGTATAAACCTGTTTTTGATCCAGATTTCGCCAGGCTACAATTTTTGAGGTAGGGAGTTCCTGCACTTAATCTTTACGATTCTTGTCATGCGTGGTCTATTAGAGAATTCATCAGAATGTGTGCTTTTTGATCTGGATTTCGTTTACAATTTAGCAAAGTTGGTTTATGCAAAAACCATTGTCATTGTTGAAAAAGAAAAAAAAGAATACATCAGTTACATTAGTATGTTTCGCCATTGATCGATTAATTTACCTTTTTCCAGTTTGCTTTCTTGTGCTAGATCTTTAGTTGTTGTGACAGTGATTTATCAATGGCTATGTAAATATCATGTTATTCTGAGCTTGTTAGTATGTTTTCTATGCTCCTTTCGCGAATTCGTGACATGTTTTAGACTTTGTAGCATTCAAGAATGAAGAATGGCTGCGAATGCATGCACCTGCTGTTGCCATTGCTGCATAATTAGCAGTTGTAATCTTGCAGATGTGTAGGGAACTTCATGGAATGTGAATCCCTTTAAAGAAGTATATAATAGTAAAATTTTGTGAGTGATGATGGATCAATCTACAAGGTTTATGTTTTTTGTATTTCAAGTTCAAAAAGTTGGTTGCCGAAGTGTTTTTGCTTATTTTATGGTGTGTAAATCGGAAAAATTAAGGTAAAACGGACATATCACGTCATCTGTATATTTGTTTGATGATATCTCATCACCTATATATTTATTTCCTTTTACCTACACAACCATTCCAAAAATGGGTTAATTTAAAAATATATTCACATGTGGTGAAATCTAATAGACGTTGATAATAGAGGATGTGATACGTTTGTCCGATCGAAAACTTTTCTCAATAAAAAGTAGCAAAAATGCAATGATCAAGGATACATTTAGAAGGGCTTTAGATACTAGGAAAATTTTTTTTTTCCATTGGACCGTTCATGTATAATGCACGATCTCTAAGTTAAATAGGTGAAATTGTTTTCAGATATCAAAAGCATGTCCAATTAAATTATTTTTTATGAACACATTCCTGATCGTATCATAAGTCTAAATATTCTTTATCTTTAATATTGTTAAGGAATTTAACTGAACCTAATGAGTATATAACTATTCTTTAATATTATTAAGGAGTTTAAGTAAACCTAGTGAGTATGACAAGGCGTATAATAAAGCAATTAAAAATCAATTTAAATTAATTAAATGTCAAATGAGTCAAATCGACATGAACACAATACCAACTCAAAGAAAAAAACTATGAACTTATCACTACCGGAGGCCCATTATTACAATTCCAATTGGGCATGCCCAATGGGCCCAGTTCATCAAATACACAGCCCAATATGTTACTCTTACTGGGCCTCTGCTGTAAGCCCAATGGGCCCATTAACAGTTTTAATATTTTGATCGTGAGCTGTTCTCAAATAAAATGAAAACATATATATATATATATAGAGAGAGAGAGAGAGAGAGGGAGAGAGAGTAAAACTTCTTTATAATTATAATGTTGGGACTAACTAATTTTATTACTATAAAAAGGTTATAACTTAATGGAGGTGTAATTTGATTTCTTATTTTATAATTCATATTTTAGTAGTACAATATTAGGATTTCAATTTATATTTTAGTAATATTATGATTTCAATACAGCGTTTCAATTGCCTTCATTTGAAACTGTAAATACAGTTGATACATGGTCAATTGATGTGAAACTACAGACAATTGTCAATGGTTTTAAGCGCTACAAAATTAGGACCACTAATGTCAATGAATTGTAAGTTACAAATGAAGTGGATGAGGAGAATAAAAGAGTCACTATAAATTGAGTGATCAGATTCGACAAATTCACTACACTAATCGAATGGATATTAATATCTTCTTCGATTATCCAAATGAGTAACAAATCGTGTATACTGTAACCAAATGAGAAATCATTGTTGCAATTAGACGAGAAGAGAAAGGAAATAATCCTAAGGATAATAGTACGGAAATACAAAAAGTCTTATGCCATAAAGCTCTAAACATGTTTGAGAAACTAAAAATATTTTGGCTTCAACAAGAAGGTATTTATGCTAACAAGCTATTACATACTCGTAAGATAAATGATGTGATAGCAACTCTAAAATATAAATTATTGTCCCAAACAATTTTAAATAAATATTTTATTTCATTTTGAACCTTTAATTTTACATAACATATATTTTTTTGTAATATACAGATAATTATTACTATGTAGAGACAACTTTCCTTACGACGAGAATTAGAAAAATTATAACTTATTAAAATATAGAGTTTATTCTTATTCATAACTATCCCAAATTGGGACTAAATTTTTTTATGACTATGTAGAGTTTATTCCTATATAGAGTATCACTCTAAAGAGGTTTTATGTGTATATACGTAATTAAAATTCAAAAAAGGTTGCTTTTAAATATTAAAAAATCTATCTGCATGTTTGGCTTAATATTTTTATCCCTATTCTGCATCCTATTCTCCAAATAATGTTTGGCACATTATTCCAGAAATATTACCCTATTTTTTTAATTACATTTAAACCCCATAAGGTTATTAATTTCACTAAATACCCCCTGAAAAAAAGTTTAAAAATTAACAAAAATACCCCCATCAACCCAACTTGTCAGATTCCGGCAACCATCGTCGGTGATAGCCGGAATCTGTACAACGGCCTAACTTCCGACCAGAAATGGCCGGAAGTTCACCGCTGTGGCCTTTTCCGGCCAGATCCACCACGGATCTGGCCGGAAAAGGCCAGATCTGGCCGTCAGCGATGGCCAAAGAAATGGCCGTCATTGACGGTCAACGACGGCCAAATCTTGGTCGTCGTTGACAGAAAACGATGGCCACATCTTTGGCCGTCGCTGACGGCCAAAGATGGCCCTCGTTTGGCCTTTTCCGGCCGTCGACGGCCATAACAGACGGTAGATCTGGCCTTTTCCGGCCAGATCCACCATGGATCTGGCTGGAAAAGGCCATAACGACGTGTTACGGCACAGATCCGACCGGTCTGTGCCGTAACGAAATTTTCCGGCCAGATTCCGGTGGTGGTGGCCGGAATCTGACACTGTAGGTGGTGGGGGTATTTTTGTCATTTTATATGTTAGGGTCTTTAGTTAAATTAGTAAACCTAAGGGCTTTTTCACAAATTTTTAAAATTTACCTCGTAGTACTNATTATTAAATAGGGTTTAAAACTCAAAAATAGGTAAACATTACAATGTCGACCCAATAACATTCTCGAATTTATCATAATAATAGTAAAGTAAACTATATAATTAAACATATACACATAAAATCATTCATTTTTTTTTTTCTTTTAAAGCGTGGGAAACCTAGAATATTTTAAATCTGAAAAGAAAATTTTGGATAACAAGTTGATCGATTAATTCAACGGGAAATAAGAGTAATGTTTGGTTTCATTTGTACCATATTTTCAAAGAGATAATTTCAGGTTTAGGGAACCCATTTTCAAAAATGAAAGAGTTATTATGAATTGTATGGTCAAAAAAGCAAATGAAACTGAAAACGTGTAAATAAAATACCCAAAATAGTATAACTCAAATGAAAACCCGTTTCAAATGTTGATGGTTTTCTCAACATTATAGTGTGAAAACCCCAAGTCAAAAAAAGGTAAAAATTTGATATCAACTTGATCGATTAATCCAATAAGACATAAGAGTTCATTTTCGGTTTCATTGGTACGAAAAACTTTTCAGGTTCAATGAACCTATTTTTAGAAACGAAATAAACGAGAGAATTATGAATTGTATGGTCAAAAATGAAAAGGAGTTTCCTATTATACTATATAGTCATAAATTAAACGTTTTATAAATGTATAAATAAGAATTTAATGTCTAAATTAGTAGAACTCAAAAGGGTTTAATTGATTAGGATTTAATTGGAATGCTTCCTCTAGAAAAAAGTTAGGGCTTAATAGTAATGCTATAATTGTCAATCACTGACACTAGTGTTTCTTTATTCTTGTATTACATTACACTTTTGTTTGTTTGTCTCTCTTTATTTGTATCAACAGATATTCCCCTTTTTATATAATATTAAAAAAAATGCTCATTTATAGATCTATCCCAATGAGTGTTTATCCAATTATTGGAATTGATGTCTGGTTATGAAAAGAAGGAAGAGATCTTCGAAAAATAGTTATTGAGAGCATTTTAACCAGATGCTTTGTTTTAATTTGATTTTTTTTTTTTTTTTTAACTGAGGTATTAGTCTAGCTTACAGGCACCTCAAAGGAAGCTATCTCGTAACAACAGACTGCGGTCCCCGGGTAAATCAAGGGCAAATGTACTACCTTTGCGCTAGTGGGGAATCGAACTCAGGACTATGGGTTGAAGTCAGCATGTCCCCTTGGTTCGCCCTTACAGCTGGATCACCAAGGGTGGGGTAATTTGAAATTTTCATAATTGGTAATTTCAAAACCCTAAAATATATTTAGAAAAAAAATTACAAAACTAATTATCAAAATAATTGAAAATTAATAAAAACAAAGGACCCACATCCTTAATAATAGGAGACAGATTCCATTGAAGAAGGTTAGTGGAGGAAAAATGATTTTAAGATAGAAAAAAAAAGAGTTAGAAATCATCTTCTACTTGAATGCCCCATACCTCTTATCAATTGTTTGACACTCAAAGTTTTGTGAGTGGATGAATTGAAGCCCTTATCATAACTTTAATCAGATTTTAATTAATTAATTAATTAACCAATCAATTGATTGATTGGATTAGACTTTTCTTAATTAATTGAAAAATAAAAAGATTAGTTTAATTTAATTTTGCCTTGGAAAAGAGTTGTGTGTGATATAGTGGCTAATGTGGATTCCAATATCACCCAAGTTGTCACATGATATTCATTTGAAAACATTGTGTACCAATTTAGTGTTTTAATTAAGTCAATTTACGTCTCGTCAAATATATTATGAATCAATAACACATGAGAAATCACAATTATTACTAAATGCCCAAAACTTATATCAAAACGAATTATACACTTTAGTTATTGGTATTGTTAAGTGATTAGTCATATAACATATTGAATCAATAACAACCTGTAAAACAACGATAACTCGTTGAACACCATCGTTCTCGATTAATCAAGGAAGCCTAAGTTAAAAAGAATCTCAACTCAAACTTTTTTCTCGATACATTGTTAATCAGATTAGTATGGATGATATTAAATTAATAAAATTAATGAGCATGTGAGTCTAATTAACATTTTGCTAGACCACATGGGGGCTAAAATTTTGAACCGATTGTTGCTGTCTTTAGCTGGCTTACAACCAATTGTCAAATATGTGTCTGGCATTACATTTTAAATGTTAATTAAATATTAAGCAACTTAGTTGTATCCATGAAAATATATTGGGAAGGTGTCAAATTTTGATGGTTCGTCTCAGGTGTTACATAAAATAAAAATTTAGATAGAAATGTCTATGAAACTATATAAATTATTGTTCGCTAATGTAGATAATAGAGGTCCTAATTTAAAAAACATGAAGACGTTCATACCAGATCATTCTTTATTATACATATTGAAAAGTCGTAAGTGTGGAAGTTTTTAATTTGTTTTTGGACAAGTGTTCCAACATAAAAACATTAAACGACAAAATTTCAATTTAATTTGATTTTAATAAAAAAAAGAA